AAATCAACACCTTAAAAGCCTTGTCTTTAGCCCAGGCTTTCTTTATTCGAGTGTACAATTGCAGGTGCATGCCTAGAGGAGCAATAGTTTGTTCCTAACAAAAGAGTCTGGATGCCACAATATGCCTCTTGCCAGAGGCATCGTTCCCCAAAGCACAGAGCTAACTGCATCTCCTGCTGTACCTGTAACAATTTAATTGTATGAGTCAGCCTAGTCAAGCATCTCCAGCCCATGACTAGGAGACATGAAATTCATTGTCATTATTGTCCCTGTCATTTTGGATCATTATATCCTGCTGAAGAATTTTCCTCACTCCAGTGCATTCCTACCTCCAGGAGCCAGGGATTATAGCTGAGGTTGGGGCGGGGGCAGGACCATGAACTACATTTACCTCAGGGGAGCCAGAGATTAAATTAGCTTTGCTCTCTCGCCAGCGGAATTCATCTATTAGTATGCTGTGAGTTTTGCGTTGGAATAAAAATGAATATTCTAAGAAAACCTGGGTTGTAATTCCCCCTTTGAAACACGGATATACTAATTTTTGTTTACATTAGGAAAGCTAATGTAATTTCTTGTACGTTGCTGTTTTCATATGTGCACAAGGAATACTTGAGGGCATTATCAGGTAGGAAATAACAGACAACTCTCTGTGTCCATGACTGGACTCGCATAAGAAAGAACTTAAAGCTGTAATTTTGTTCTCCAGTTGTATCTTAGAGAAGCTTAATGGAGGAATTTAATGGTTTTAAATATTTAATGATTTTTAGTTATATCTCACTTTTTGTGCACTGAATCAGATGACTGGAGTCCAAGAGGAATGGCATCAAAGATCTCCTCTGGGAACAGGAAGATAGAAGTAAAGTTGACAGAGGAACACAAAATAAGGTCCTGAGGAGACTTGCTTCCTCTCCACAGCTGGTTCACTTAATCTCACAGTCGGACAAGTCACCCAAGCCTGTCAGGCCTTCAACACTTCTCGCTGACTTGGGAGAGTTGGATCAGTCACACACTCTATCTGGTGAACCCCTGACCAGTGGTCATGGCCATGGTCGGGGTCAGCTAATGGCGCTCTGGTAGGAGATGGCAAGGAGCAGATAGGAAACACTCGGACATGTCTCAGTCAGAAAACCAGTAAGCTGACTGTATGTTTTCTCTAGCAGAATATAAAAAGAAAATATAAGCTTGTATGTCACTTCCTAGTCCAACTTTCATTTCATATGGATTTTACTGAGAAATCTGACATTTACTTTGTCTGCACTGAAAAAAAAAAAAAAAAAAAAAAGGAAAAGGTAGCTAGCTATTCCTCTATATGTGTGAGATGTTTTCAGCAGTTAACAACAAAACATGGCAATGGATCATGCCTTTGCTGAGCAAAGCCACTATAATTACTACATTTTAAAAAATATGGAATTACTTTTATGACCCTTTGGACTTGTGTGGAGGGAATATATTTTGCCTTAATCATATGCAATGGCCATCTCTATTTATTTAGGATGAAATGTCCTTATGAGTAAGTAAGAAAAATTTTTTTACCTTTGTACATTTCATACTTTAGAGGGAACATCTTCAGCTAGCTCAACATCGCAGTATGGAAGGAACCTTAGACTGTCTCAGCCATCAGTCCAAGTGAATGGCAATGTTTTCTAGTCCATCTCACTATATTTCCACACGCCTACATTTCACTTTTCACTGAGCCAAACCGGTTAGGGCTTACATTTCACTTTTCATTGGTGCTGATGTAACTGTCTAATGCAGTGATGGTGAACCTATGACACGCGTGTCAGAGGTGACACGCGAACTCATTTTTTTGGTTGATTTTTCTTTGTTAAATGGCATTTAAATATATAAAATAAATATCAAAAATATAAGTCTTGCCGAAGCCGGTTTGGCTCAGTGGATAGAGCGTCGGCCTGCGGACTGAGAGGTCCCAGGTTCGATTCCGGTCAAGGGCATGTGCCTGGGTTGCGGGCATATCCCCAGTGGGAGATGTGCAGGAGGCAGCTGATCCATGTTTCTCTCTCATCGATGTTTCTGGCTCTCTATCTCTCTCCCTTCCTCTCTGTAGAAAATCAATAAAATATATTTAAAAATATATATATATATAAGTCTTTGTTTTACTATGGTTGCAAATATCAAAAAATTTCTATATGTGACACGGCACCAGAGTTAAGTTAGAGTTTTTCAAAATGATGACACGCCAAGCTCAAAAGGTTCGCCATCACTGGTCTAATGTATCACTAATAAGAGGTTTTCGTTCACAAAACTTCTGGTAGCATTTAAAAGTTCTTTCAATTACTTTTGCTACTTTCTTTTTTTTTTTATCATAATCAAGATTTTCCCTAAGATGAGAGGTATAAATATTACTTCTGTTCACTTTAAAATGGTAATTTTGTTATATGAATTTCACCTCAATAAAATATTTTTTAAATTAAAAAGAAAGGTTATTTCAAGAAGCTCAAATACATTTGAAACCATCTGGGTGACTGTTACTACAGTCTCATAATGGTTAGTTATGAAGAATATTTTTTTTTTCTTGTTAAGAAAGGTTTATGTTATGCATTACAATTTTAGACCTTGTTTGCAAAAGTAAACGTTCAGGAAGTTATTTTCCTCTGAAATACTTCGGAAACAGGATGCTGATGTTATTTTTTGATCAGGGGTAAGGCATTCCTTCCTTTCTCTGCGTATATATTTACGACATTTAATTCCTTTACCTATATGCTCCCTATTGTATCTACTTCCATGTTGCTATTTAATTTGCTCATCACCAGGAGTTGTCCTATCTGTGAGCACAGCTGGGAAATCACAGAACTACACTTTAGTTCACATTCTTGTTTTAACTTACCTCAAGAGTGACACAGTTGGGCCTGTATCATTTCTGAACAAGGATTAAAAGAAAATTATTTCAAAGGACTAGAATATAATTATTTTTACCCTTTCTATTCAGGACTTTAAGATTTTAAAATAAATTTCCAAATGTCAACATGAAATTATTTTCATAATGATTTTTAAATTTTTTGGTAATCTTTGCTAAACTCAATTTTGCAACCTATAACAAGCTGTAAGAGCCAATTCGGAATTAAAGAAATTCTTGATCCCCTTGATTCTAATAGGGCCATGTGTTTGTTTGTTTTTTGCGTGTGTGACATAGATTTCCCTTTAAGAATCTATAATTCATTCGCCTGGCCAGTGTGGCTCAATGGTTGAACCCATGGACCAGGAAGGAGGTCACGTTTCAATTCCCAGTCCTGGCACATGCCTAGGTTTCGGGCTGAATCCTTGGGGGGGGAGGAGGACTGCAGGAGGCAACCAACAATGATTCTCTGATGTTACTATCTCTCTCTCCTTCTTTCTGAAATCAATAAAAACATTTAAAAAAAGAACTTATAATTCATAACAATATTAAAGCCAACATAAGACAAGATGCCACAAAATCAGATATGATATCCACTAAGAATCCTCTTCAGGAGATTCAGATATGCACACATTAAAAACAAAACCAAGCAAACAGTAAAAGTAGTTAGCATCCTCACATGGGCAAGTCTAGAGGGACTGTGCAGGAGGGCTCAGCATTAAGAGGCAAAGAATACAACACTTCCACGTCAGGATGAGTAGAATGCCTTCTTCCTCCTCCTGGACCAAACCTTCTTCAATGTAATCACCCAGTAAACTACAGTGGACTAGCATTAGGGTCCGATGCTGAGAAAGCAAATTCACAGTTAAGGTTGTCCTTAACATATATCCTATCAAGGGTACCAAAAGTGTAGATAAGTGGCCCCCGCCCTCCGTCATGTTCAGATACTGATGGGCACTGCGAATTTTCTAGCTTCTAATGTTTGCCTAAGACCCTTAACATTTCCCTAATGTTGCTCCTAGGACATTTTCTTGAGTTTGTCCCCATTGCACATACACTTTTTGTATTTCCACATGAAAGCCTAACAGACAGCTAACTACTTAGCTGTCTAACACTTGGGGGAGATAGGATGGTCTTGAGGATATACTATAATATGAAGTAATATAAATATCAAAGCCTCCTAAATATAGATATATTTCACACTAAGAGTTTAGATACCTAACATGAAATACAAACATCACATAATGGAAATTTAAAAAACTCACTGAGCTATAGAACCTATTGTGTCACAAAATTTCTAAGACTTTTTGAACATATACAATATCTATATCCAGTTATTTCCTTGTAAATAAACACCTTTGGACTATTTGCTAATTCCACACACCCTTTAAAACTATAAAAATTTTCACAAATGGCTTTTCCTGTTTTACTTTATGCTGTATTGTGGTCCATCTGGAAATATAAGTGGTGAGTTCCTTCAAATAAAAGTATACAAAATTATATTGCTCACGCACAAAATGAACATTGAACTCATGGCAAATGGATACTAAATAATATCACTATTAGAAAACATCCAATAACAATAAAATAAGCAATAAAAACAGAGGGATTGGTTTAATAAATGCAGTGTTCATCCACCTTCATCATGAATTATATGTTCAAGAATTGTGTCCTGTGCAAACTACAAACTTGTCCATTTCAGCCCAGGGGGCATTTTTCTCTGGGTTTCTAACCCCTTGAAAATAGAGGTTTCATCTAGAAAACCTAACAGATCCTCAGCTCCTTTCAACATTGTAATATATTCATTACATGTAATATAGTCACTGGCAAACATATAACCAATTAAATGACATGAAGGTGGGGTCCAAATTCATAATGAGGGAAAATGGACCAAACCAACCATAAGATACAATGTAGAAACCCAAGCAGAAAAGAAATATGCAAAATTACACATATGAAAAGCAAACACAATGCGGAGGTTTTTAGCTAGTATCGGAGAAAATGGTGAGTGGGTGTGTCTATTTGTGTGTTGTGTAAGATTCACATTAAAATTAAGAATGCAAAACTGTCTCATTAACAATACACTGTAAGGGTCATGAGTGAGAGTAAAGTATCTTGTAAAACAAAACAACAAAAAAACACATACCATCATAGTAGACAATTGCTCCTACCAGCCTGTCCTTCTGAAGCATTGGGAAATGCTCCAGGGCTCTCGATTTGCTGAGGATGTAACTGCTTTTCAGGCAGTTACTTCCTGCCACCAGGTCGTACATTTTGATTCCTACCCAGTAGTAAGGTAACTGCCACCACCTACAGCATAAATAGGGGGAAAGGTTTCTTTAGACAGTGTATCGCATTACAGAATGTCACTTTAAGTTCTTAGATATGTTTCATTTAAGAAAAGCAAAATACGGCTAGAAGCGTACTGTGAAAGAAACAGAACCGCACCGCTGTTGTTGACAAAAGCCCAGCTGAACTAAGTAAGTCAGGGGTCCTCAAACTTTTTAAACAGGGGGCCAGTTCACTGTCCCTCAGACAGATGGATGGCCAGACTATAGTTCAAAAAAAACTATGAGCAAATTCCTATGCACACTGCACATATCTTATTTTGAAGTAAAAAAACAAAATGGGAACAAATACAATATTTGTATTTGCATGTGGCCCGCGGGCCGTAGTTTGAGGACCCCTGATGTAAGTGAATGAATCCATAAGCCTTCCAATGAATCACCTGGAAGACAATGGTTCTTGACCTCGCTGCATTTTAGAATTCTCTGGAGAGCATCAGAAATAAATACAGATGCCTAGGCTTCACATGTCTAGAGATTAATTTAGCTAAACTAGGAAGGGGCCTGGCTGACAATAATGGATCCCCAGGGTGGGGAATCACTGGCTTAAGGTGTCCTAAGCAATCTATGACAAAATATGGACAATTGTAAAATCTGTTTCTAGGTCCCCCACAACACTCATAGCTAACAAAGTTAGAGAATCCACTTCTTCATATTACCTGTACTCTAATTTAAGGCAACTTCATGAATAGCTTTAACAATATCAGGAAAATGGGTTTTATAATTTATAATCTGACACTTTTTAAAAAAATGTTTTGTTTATTGATTTCAGAGAGGAAGGGAGAGGAAAAGACAGAAACATCAATGATGAGAGAGAATCATTGATCGGCTGCCTCCTGCACGCCCCACAGCGGGGACTGAGCCTGCAACCCGGGCATGTGCCCTGACCAGGAGTTGAAACAAGACCTCCTGGTGCAGAGGTCGATGCTCAGGCACTGAGCCATACCTGCCAGCAATATCTGACACTTCTAAACAAAGTTTGGGTTAATGCACATATTGAAAATGACCCAAAATGATAAATACAGAACACAGCTCCCTTTGCCTTCAAGATGTAGCCTTTGGAGGCTGGTCAGTAGGGAGTGATTTAGGAAAAGCCACACTTTTAATACAACAAAGGAAAGTATTTGAGCATGATTAAAGATTGCGATTAATTAAAACCACATTAAGAAATACAAACTGAGGAGTATTTCCATTAAAACTGTGTTGTTCTCTATTAACCTCGGATAAGCAAATGTGTATAGATGCTACCAAAATGCTTACTTGTAAACGGGAAGCATTATAGGCAACGGAGCTGATAAATGGGGAGCAATTTCTAGTAGGTTGGCGCGCTCGTGAAGGGCTTCTTTTACCATCCTATACTGAAAAGCAAAACAGAGAAAATTAGTTTGGCAGTAACAGATCATAATATTTTCAAATGGCAAATAGACACCCCGCCAACTGATTGATACACAGAAACCTCTCTACCTCTGAGAGAGGGTAGCTCCCCCCTAATCAGATTTCTAATAATACATCATGCTGTCAACCGGGGAGATTTTTTAGAAGCCTTAACTGTATTTGCATAGGAGAAAAACATGCTGTCAGAGCTCCCAGGTGTAAGATATTTTCCTGACTGGAGTTACAAGATTATTATAACAATTTATCTTGCATTCTCTATATTGTCCCTTTTCTCAGGCCCCTGTAATATTTCCCCGTGTAAGAGACAACAGATTGTTCAAAAGCATGCTACACATCCCCTTCTGGCCTCCACGACCCCAAGCAGAGATGATGCTTAGGAGTTGCACAGTATTTTATAGATTATTACAAAAAAGCTTATCTCTTAACTCCTTTGGTCCTTAGAATACCCCTCTGAAGAACCAGCATTACAAGTATGATACTAATTTTACAAAGGAGAATACTGAGGCTCCTAAAAATTGAGTAAGTAAACTGGAACACATGCCAGGCCATCTGATTCTAAACCCTATGCTCTTTTCCTTGCAGCCATCACGATGTCGCAGAGACACCAAAGAAAAGGGACAGATTCACAAGTGACAGTGTCAAGTTAGTGCTGCTGTGTTTTTCCCGTACGGAAGACAGATACCGAGTTCAGTTGATTTTTTTTTTTTTTAGCCCTCTGGGAAATGTCATCTTCCACACTGCCTTGGCAGTTTTCAAGCGGTGGCAGACTGGACACAGTAATGTGTGACATAAGAAAAGCATGACTCAGATCATCTTTCCTTCAGAATGTCAGCGACAAGATTAACGTATGGCTGCAGTTTCAGTCAAGAGGATCAATTTAATACCCCCCCTCCCCCCCGTACTACAGCACAGTAATACAGAGTAATACTTCCCCTGTATTACTCTGGGGAAGTAGCAATTTGGTGGCTATTGGCAAACAAAAACAAAAAAAGAAGAAAAAAAAAACAATCACCGTTGTTAAAAGGCAACACCCCCAAAAGTGATTTTGTAAATCTGCTACTTTGACATGCCTGTGCAGAAAAAGCCCCCGATCGCCCATAAACATAATACCACAGGAAAGAACCCGCACGCCTCTCCTGAAAGATATTCCAGCAGACTACACTAAATAGGTATTTCCAACAGGAAGAAATGTTAGGAGCCATTAAAAAAAAAAAATGATTTAATTGGGTAGAAAAAAGCATAGTCGCAATTTTTGTTTAACAACCAGCATACACAATTACCTGCTCAATATCCAACTTCATGATAGCCTTCTGAAGATATCTCACACCACCATGGATCAATTTAGTGCTTCTGCTGCTGGTCCCCGATGAGAAATCATCTCTTTCTACAAGGGCTGTTTTTAGTCCTGTGTAACCAGAAAACCAAATTAACTTCTTAAATTACACAATTTGTATGTAATTCATTAAAGGCGCTTCTCCAGGGTAGAGACAATCACAAGAAAAATTACTCTGAACATGGATAAATTTGTATTCCAAGTGCGGTACACTGTCTATATTATAATGAAGAGATTTTAGTCTCTTCCTGGGGGAAAAGTCAAAGCAGAACTAGAAGCATATTAAACGGTGAATGAATCACAACTAGGAAATATCACAGTACAATTTCAGGGCAGTCACAAACTCTGGTGCTTTTAGAGGGTCCAAGGAGAGCCTGCACCCATCTTTACCCAGGAGGCTAACTCAGTCATTTTCACAAGTCCTTCTGGAACTCCCATTCATCCCTCACTACAGGAGTCCAGGCGTGTTCCAGCCCCACATCTCCAATCTACTCTAACGCATCATCAATGAGTCTAGACTAGCCCTCGTATGTGTTGGCTCCTATTTCTAGAATGGTGTTTTAGAGGTTATAAAATGGGAAAAGAGATCAAAGCTATCACAACAGAAGAAGAAGAAAATTAACCCCTGATATTGAGGAGTTCCTGGTCTAATGTAAGACATCCAAGCATAATATTGTGGACTTACAAAGAAAAATACAAGCCGGAACAAATGAACCCAAGGAAGGACAATATTCTTGGTAAAGGTGAGGCTGGGCAAAGAAAGGTCAGTTCCAGAAGCTGTCCCTCCCTCCCCCCCCCCCCCTTCCTGTGAGGGTTGCAACAAATCTCTTAGAGATTAAATTAGTTTGCTTTGGTTTGGTTTTCTTGCAGAGACACCCCTATCTCTCCAGCGTTGGGTAGGAGCAGCAGTACGGTGAGATCCATACGCTAGTTAGAGATGAAATTCAAAACTTCAAAAGGCCCAAAGTATATATCAACACCGAGCCATGAGGAGTTTTCATGGCCTGGCACACTCTTGGGGATGAGAGAATGTCATGGAATCCAATTACAATGAGAATATGTAACTGGAGCAGTTTGGGCTCACAAAGCTCATATAAGAGAACTTGTGCGTGTATTCAATTCAGAGCCATTCATTACATTTAATACCAAAGGGTCGTTTTTATAACTTTTAACAGTTTAAATATCGTACCCAAATGTCATCATAAAATCAGGCCAATTCCCTTGACTCAAAAGGACAAAATATTTGGAAGCCGTGGAGAGGAAAGAAGAGAACTTTGATTCCAAGGGCAAAAAGTGCTAGTGCTCTAACTAAGGAGCTAAATAACACAGAAATTACAGGTATCATAGACCCAGGTCCCTCTTTTAAGCATTTATGCCAGAGAAAGATCTGTAAAATTCTCAAGTATGAATACCCTATCAGAGTTTAGTAAATGTAGTACTGGGTGCATTATAAAAAAATAAAAAATAAACTATACCAAATTAGTACTTAAGAATATTGAGAGCTTAGTGCCAACTTAGAGCTAAGTGATGATGCCAGAAATGAATTAGGCATGGACTGAGGTGTCAAGTAGCTCCCAGGCCAAAGAGAGGGGCAGAAAGTGCCACCGGATTTCATAGGTACTACATTTGAAAATACAGAGGACTCTTACCTTACTCTGGCTTAGCAGGTAAATTCAGGACATAAGCCTCAAAGTACTGTAATCAAGATTACATTTGTATTCTCTTACAAATGCACTGTCTTGGTGAGCTATATCACCTTGCCTTAGTAAGTCCAACACAGAGTTTTTCTAGCTCTAAACTAGACTGTTTCTCTTCAGTTGTGATCAGATTGGGGGTGGGGTGAGGGGTGGGGGGATGTGACTTTCAAATGGCATTTAAGAGCCAGATTGTATAATATAGACCTCTCTTTCAACCTCGGAACCACAGTCTTGGCATCGAGACGCCCGTACCATGAGAGGCAGGGACATCAGACTGAGAACGGTCAAGCAGCCTCCAAGCCAGCCCCTGGCTCCCCGCGTGGGCCTGCCCAAAGGCATCCTGCTGGCTGTGGTAGAGGGCATCTTAGTGCCCCATAATGCCCACTTTCTAGTGTCTAATCCCCCACCCTGGTGTGTGGGCTAGGCCTCGTGCCTGGCTTCTAATGAGGGGGGCACAGCAAGAACAATGGCACATGACTCCTGTGTTCAGTTACAAACGTTTCCTTGTCCTTTTTATCCACTCAGAAGAAGCAAGCTCCCATGTTGAGTCAAGGAACCACAGGACGCCCCAGCCAGCAGGTCATGAGGAATGGAGGCCTCGGGCCAACAACCTGTGAGGCCCTGGTCCTGCCAACAAGCATGTGACTTGCTCGGAAGCACGGCATCCTGTGAGAGGCTCCGAGCCAGAGGCAGGCCAGGGCACACGCAGACGCCTGGCCCCCTGAAACTGGGATAATAAATGTGGTTTCAAGCCACTGCGTTTTAGGGTAGTTTATTGATGGCGCAATTCCCTCTAAGAACAAGAACAACAGCCGAGGCAGGAGTTTTTAAATACCTAGGATGGGTGTTCAAGAAAGCCTGCGTCTACAGAGGAGTGTGCTGCAGAGAGATGGAGGGAAAGTGGATCACCGGCCAAGATCAGCTTAAGCAAGAAAAAGGCAAATGCTTGAAATGGCCCAACTTTTGTAGCAGCCACTTGTCCCTCCTCAGGGGCTGGAGTGCAGGGTTCAAGGGGCGATGGGAAGGACTTGGGGCGGGGGGGGGTTGTAAAAGGCCTATCACAAATAAAGACATAATAGCATCATAAATGTTCTAGTTCATCTCAGCAGTGATAGAGCTTATTGATTTCCATAAAGAAGTAATGTCTGAAAAGAAAAGAAACAAAAACTATTTCTCATAAAATCTTGGACTAGTTGAATGAATTACCTAAATGGAGGGAGGCCAGCCCTTCATTGCCAGCCATGTGGGGAGGCATTCTCTCTGCTCTGAAGGAAGGCCTTTGTGAGCTCCTCAAATATAGCCAGGAGTAGAGGCTTTCGTCTACTTTGGGGCAGGATCCTGTCCTGTGGGCCACTGTCTCACAAGTGAAGTAATATCCAGTCTCCTCAAAAGGAAATGCCTCTGTGAACATGGCTGAAAGGCATGGATCAGTTTGAGAAGCAAATGCTTCCTTCGAAAGTACAAGATCTGGCATCAGCCCAGCTGGTGTGGCTCAATGGTTGAGCATCAACCTATGGACCAGGAGGTCACAATTCGAATCCTGGTCAGGGCACATGCCCCGGTTGCCGGCTCAACCCCCAGTAGGGGGCGTGCAGGAGGCAGACAATCAATGATTCTCTCACATGAGCATGAACTTGAATCCTGTGCTCAGTCACCATGTATCCGTTTGGAAGAATAAGGGCGTGCTTGCTGATTTTTTTTCTTTTTATCATTACAAAAAGAGGAATAAACTGAAAATCTTCCAGAGGTTCTCAGATATTGTTTTTGAGAAATGCTACTCTGCTGCCTATCAGGAGAACCACCAAAGTGCTTTAAGCTGAGAAATCAGATGAATGTTCTAGAAAGATTTCTCTAAGAGTGGGCCTGGAGGGCAGGGCTGGAGGAGGAGAAGAGCTGGAGGCAGGAGGGCACTTAGGGGGGCCCGCCTGAGCAGGCGCAGGGCAGTGATGATGCCAGCCTTACAGGGCTAAAGATGATATTGGAGCGGGATAGGAAGAGAGAATTTTACGGACCTGTGTTAACAGAACACTTTTTTTTTTTTTCCTTTCCCAAACTGACAGTGTGAGGCAGGGAACTACTCTAGGAATTAGCAAGCCATCTCAGGAAGATATTTCAGGATAGATAAGTGAGACCTAACACTTTAAAGCCTCAAAACTGCTTTTGCAAGTATTGGGCATTTTAAAAAGTTATTCACATGTACGTATGTGAGAAACCCTAGTGAATACCAACAAAAGTTAAAATGGGCTTCTCTGTCAAACCACGCTGTTGTTCTTGTCCCATTATTTCTAGTGTCATATCATCAAGCTACCCACCAGGATTCCTGATGAGAAATGGTACTGTTCCTTCCAGAGCAAAAAACATAAAAATCAAATTGTAGCTACATTGATATATTAATGTAATGTAAAAGCATTACCAAAAGTTTTTTGGAACCACAAAAAAACTAAATAGTCTAGAAAAAAATATTTTAAAAATTTAAACTGATGCTATATGCTAAATGTTCTGAATTTCTTATTTTTGTTGACAAGAATGATAGAAGGGGGGGGCAATGTAAAGTCAAGACATTACTAGAAGTTATAACCGTTTCTCAAAATACATTCTTTAGCTGATTAACCATTATCTAACACTAGAGGCCCAGTGCATGAATTCGTGCACCAGTGGGGTCCCTCAGCCTGGCCTGTGAGATCCGGCTGAAACTGGCTCTCCGACATCCCCTGAGGAGTCCCAGATTGGGAGAGGGCGCAGGCCAGGTTAAGGGACCCCACCAGTGCATGATTGGGGCCGGGGAGGGACGCAGGAGGTTGGCCAGCCAGGAAGGGACCACAGGAGGGCTCCAGGGCACATCCAGCTCATCTTGCTCAGTCCCGATCAGACAGATCCCAGCAGCAAGCTAACCTAATGGTTGGAGCGTCTGCCCCCTGGTGGTCATAGCAAGTGGTTGAACGGCCTTAGCATATCATTAGCATATTACACTTTGATTGGTTTAACGGACGACTGGACGATCAGACACTTAGCATACTAAGCTTTTATTATATAGGATGTTCCTTTCTGTTCCACCTCTCAAAATGCAAATTTTTTCTCCCCTCAAAAATTATTGATCTGAAGAAAAACAAAATACTGATCTAAAATTAAGAGTTTAGTTTTCTGATACATTAAGCATAAAGCAAGGAAGTAAAAAGAGGGTGCTGTTTTATCTTCTCAAAAAGAATGAACAGTATTTTTAAGTGACAATCAATGCTAACATTTTGTATTCTTAAGGAAAACAAATTTGAAGGACATCAGAAATAACGTCCCCAGTCTTCAAGCCTCTACTCCTGGCTGTATTTGAGGAGCTCGCAAAGGTCTCCCTTCAGAACAGAGAGAATGCCGCCCCACATG